ATTCCCGACGGAATCTGAAACGTCAGGACAATAAAACTCTTGTTCAAGTGGTCGCATCCTCTTATTCTTGACTTGGTCATGACACGAGGCCCGGGTGAGGTAGGCGAAAAGCGGGCGGTAGGTGTAACGCTAATCTACTAACATTATAATCTAATTTACACACAAGTCACTGTGTCTGTGCCCATTTGCTGTTGGGCGCATGGTGAATCTCGTCAAAACCGACCGTCGAACTGTCGTACAACTTGGTCAGCCACAGCTAAAAACTAAAAAAGAGGAAAAATTGCGACAAATCTCGTGAAAATGTTTTTTTTCAATCAACACGCAATCTGTATGCTGTTAACTAATCACCGTGCTCGACAGACAACTTATCGCAGAGGGTTAAGTTAAACTCTAACAACTGCGATCTTTAGACTATAGGTCCTTAGTAGAGGAGAAGTCTTGGGAAGTCCAGAGTGTTAGGAATAGTTTATTGTGTACACAGAGGAACGGAGAATAAGAGTAAGAAGATTGACTTGGAAGCATACGACCAGCCAGGAGAGCCAGCCGGGTCCAAGTGCCAGTTTGAAAGCAGTCAGGCCAGTGGGCAGAGAGGGAGCAATTCACGCGTGCAGGCTTGCTATTCGTTGCCGGGCCAGAAAACAACTTTGCGGAAACTGTGATTGGCTGTTCCCAGAAGTCGATATCAACGGCTGCAGGACTTCAGGAAAGTTCATTTTGTCCCGACAAACTAATTAAAGTGGCTAAACAGTACTGAGTAGTCATACCCAACCCCAAATGGTGAGGACGGCTGATGAGCCAGAAATTGCCATTCAAGTTTCTCTTTTCTTTGTCGGCGATGTTTTCTGCCCAAACTACTAGCCGCTATGCGACTGCTGGCGGAACTCGAGAATGCGTCCCAAGATAGTGAGTTCCTTTAACGATCGGTAAACGTTCATCAACGAGTCAAATAATTCTTGTAGGTGATTTAAGTGCGAATGCCTCTAAGGGACTAGTTTCAAACGTGGCTCTATGTTTACTGTTATAGTTACGCAGTTATTCGCATAGACAGATCTTTATGAACTTCTTAAAAAACTTGCGTGAATTAACTTGACACGATGTTTGGTGTTTTTTGGCCCTTTCGTTTTTCGTAATAATTGGTTACCGATAAACAGTATACGTTAAATATTTATTTTATTCTTTTTTCATTTCACTTAATATTTTTCATCCTTCAATGGGAGTTTTAGTGGATACATTTGAGGTGGTGTCCGAATGCTGAGAAATTTTTCGTCAATGCAGGCACCTTTTCTGAGTGAGGCCATGTACCATACATCTGGCTGCTTGCTCAGTCACAGTTGTCGGTTGGAAATCCGGCCGCCTGTTGAAATCATAAGTGAACAATATGCCATCGTGTTTAACGATCCATTTCGGGAAAGACCCATTTTGTACGATTCTATCTGTGAATAAGACCGTCCTTTCTGTCCCATTACTTAATTTTGTCGCCGAATTTCTCACATTTTTCAGGTTATGGACTATTTGCTTTTCTATCAGATAACTGGATTCATTTGTTTGCCTGTTTTAGATGCTCCGGATCGGCAGAGAGAAACACCTCTCTACCGTAATGGTTGTGGTGGGCAGTCCACCGGATCAAGACGCGGACGTTATCTTTGAATTCCTCGAACAGTCTCTGGCGGTCACCACCACGGAGGAGGACCTCTGTTTTCACTTTGTCTGCTTTGACTGCAACAGTTCCGGCATGCAACAACTCCTGGCTCGACTGGCGGCTGTCAATCAACATTCCAGTCTTCACTGCTACTCCCCCGTCAAGGATGGAACTGCTTTTATCAGCGATGACATCGCTCTTCTCATAAAGGAGCTGGAGGCGGCAAGAGTAAGTGTTTGCCCTAGTCCTACAGTAGTGCTAAGCTTCAAGAATAATTGCGAGAGTTCGTGTTCCAAGTGTTTGCATTATTAAAGGAGAAGGCGGGTCGAGCACCAGAACAGTTTGGTTACTGTTTTGAGTTTTCGAGCTCCTGCAGGAGTTCATCGTCCGACGTAACAGCAACAAGAAAATAGGCAACAATAAGAGGGAGTATAAATCCACCAGCTATCAGTGACGCACGTCTGGAGTTGACTGCGCGGGCATCTCTACGCCGGCACCTAATCGATACGCAGATTAGCTGGGTTTCCATTCATTGGCCAGGCTTCAATCAACTCTCGGCTCATTTTGATTCTGGCGTGGGCGACTATCTTGACGGTTACAAAGTTGAACTCATAGCCCGTTTCGTAGGTATGAGCAGCAACTTGCGATAATTCGTCGCCCCGTCGCACAGCCTGCTTATGTTCATGTATGCCTGATTCGAACATTCGTTCAGTTTAACCTGTGTCACTACAAGGTCAGGTTAGGCGTGGGATGCGATATACTACCCGCCCAGTTTGCTTATTGGGATTTAGCCGATTTTTGCTTCTCAGTATCCGGCTTCCCTAGCGAACGGTGAAGTAACCGCTCCCTCCCACGCTGCTGCTCTGGTCAATCGGTCTTGCTTATGACGATGACGTGTGCTAGAGTTGTCCACCATGCTGTGTAATTCGTAGTTAATAGCACAGATACCAGTAGTGTCCCGTTTTCTTCTTGAGGAGAGTTGCGGTCAATAGAGCGCAGAACGTGAGTCGGGAGCTAGACCGTACTGATGTGTCTTCAGCTCGTTTAAAGATAACTCACTCTACTCCCCCGATCTACGGCGGAAATGACCTTTGAAAGCCGTCTTTATTCTGTGATTGGCCCTTTTTTCCGAACATCGGATGAAGTGAAATCAGAAGAAGGTGTGATCGCTCGAATTATGAGTTTATTTGCCTGACGTTTCGGCTTCCCACTCGAACCCATCATCAGATAGTATCACACACAAAGGTAGTCGAGGCACAAGGAGTGCGGCATTTACAGCGCGTAGTTGTCGCGCGACTACATATGTACTAGAATTAGAAACTTTCGTGAGCTGGGGATGGATTCGAGAAAGAATCCGAAACTTCAGGCCAATAAATTAAGTGTTCCAGCGATGACATCTTCTTCTTCTTTTGAACCAATTCCTGAAACGCGCCCTTTTCTTTCTATTGGTCAAGTGGACCATTGGTCATCACTTCATACGCATGATACTAGCGCAATAAGATAAGCAATGAAGGAAATAGTGGAAAGTCCTTGAAAAAAAAACGTTCACCGGAAATTTGTTTGTTTACTTTGAAGGGTTAATCTCTGCAAGCAATAATTTATTCACCTGAGCTGCCAGACAGCTTTTGAGTCAGCCTCAACATATAGCCGAAAACGTTGTGCCTTAAGTCAGAGAAGATGAAAAATAGTAAGTTCCATGTATTTTAAAAAAAAACAGATCAACTCCTTTTCTTGCCTCAGATTCCTGTGATTGCTAATTGGAAATACCCAGAAAGTATGTTAAGGACTGAAACTTTGGGATCTCCCAAGATGTGGCTTTTCTCCGACATGAAGAAGACTTAACATCTCACCAGATTTTTGAGTTAGTCTATTTTACACGTTTTATAATAAGGGTTAAACATGGAAAAAGACCATAATCCTCTTGAAAGAACCCCAAGAGAAGTAGGAATCTCCTAGTAATATAGGTAGATACACCAGAACAGAGAGCAATACCTATTACTACTTGTTAACCTTAATCCTAGTAGTAAACACAATCCGGCTCTTCACTTAAGTCCTAATCCAAAACTTAAATCCAACCCTATCAATAAGCATAATTCCCCTGAAATTTGGCGCAAGGCCACCATGCTCTATCGAGAGACCAAGGCCCAAAAACGGTTTCGCACGTGAAAGGTCGGAGACCTGCCAAATATACTCGAATCCTTCCTCGACCCGGACAAAATAGTCCCAACATTCTTGTCAAGATCTGCCTTGCGGGGTTCAATCGTTGCCCTCAAATTGCTTTCCGATCACTGCTTTTATTTAGGTATTTCCAGGTACAAAGGAAACTATTCGACAAGCTAAGCAGGGCCAATTCATGATCATTCACTGTCTGAATTCATTTAAAGTTAAATATGTTTTAGATAAAACAGCTCCTTACATTGCAGACTTCAGCTTTCTTTGCTTCATTACTGTTATAGCTATTTACAGTGTTTCTTGACAATACCCACCCTCCGCCAAGGAGAAGCAGACCATCTCAAATTTGCTTCGTTATATATCCTTTGGTTATTTTTGTGTCTGTAATAGGGCCTGCTGGAACGCGTCAAAACTAAACGCGTGCAGCTGGAAGCAGAAGAAGCCGCGAAGAAAGAGATAATAGGGTTGGATAACGCTGCAAATGAGTGGGACGAACTGGAGCGTCCCTTAAACCTGTCAGATGGTGATTTGAACCCCAAAAGGACCTTCCTACCGGAAACATCAAAAGCCTGGCTTGGAAGACACGGTCTCAATGCAAAAAATCTCGGCCTTTTTCAGGTCAATTTGTTCTTGGTCACCTCCTCCTTTTTTTTATGTTTCTCCTTCCTCTTTCCCATCGTCACATACTCGTCTGTCTTCTCGTCCTCCTTCTCATCCTCGGTCTTCTCTTTTTACTCTGTTATCTTGCTTCTACTTCTCTCCCTCCCACTACTTTGATTCATCCTTTTCCATCTTTTCTTTCTTTCTTTCCTTCTTTCTTTCTTCTTCTTCTTCTTCTTCTTCTTCTTCTTCCTATTCCCTTTTTCATACTTCTAATTCTCCCCCTCCTTCACCTCTATTCTTCTCCTTCTTCCTTCT